TGAGCCGAAGTCGGACGCTCAACCATCTGAGCCACCCAGGCGCCTGTTAGGCTTAATTTTAACATTATATATGCTTAACCTTCCCCACCCACCTTCACTTTTCTGTGGCCTCACCTCTCCCTCCATTTCTGCATTTATCTGTTTATGTCTCCTGTGTTCCCTTCCCCCCCGCCCCCGCCCCCCCACGCCAGCTCCCAACGGCAGGGACCTGAATCAGCTTTGCGGTCTTCAGCTCAGGACGTTGCTGGGACTCAGGAGGTGCACATTTGTTGCATGAATGAGTATTTTTCCGTATGAGTGAATTAATTTGAAATAAAGAAAAAAAATCGACCAAGTAGCCCTTGGGAGATTGGTGCCCACAGGCCCTGGGACTGGAGAAGCCCACGGCCTCAGCTGCCAACTGTTTGGGTTTTACGACGGCTTCATGGTTATACAACTGTTCACATTTCCAAAGTGCACTGACCCTGAAGATGTGGGGTGAGCAATGTGGAGGCTGAGATTTGCTTTAAAACATCTGCACAGAAACAGAGATCCCACTCACCGTTCAATGTGGGCTCACGAAGCTCTGTCCTACTCATCTCCCTATTCTGAGCCCCCGTGAAATCCTTACGAGAATTTTTTAAATGTTCACTTATTTTTGAGAGAGAGACAGCTCGAACAGGGGAGGGGCAGAGAGAGAGAGAGACAACGGAATCCGAAGCAGGCTCCAGGCTCTGAGCTGTCAGCAGAGCCCGACATGGGGCTCGAACTCACCAACAGTGAGATCACGACCTGAGCTGAAGTCAGATGCTTAACCCACTGAGCCACCCAGGTGCCCCTTATGAGAATTGTTTTCCTAACATAAAAAGAGCAGCTTTTTAGGGGGAGGATGGAGGGATGAACAGGCAGAGCATAAGACTTTTAGGGCAGTGAAAATACTCTGCATGATACCGTAGCGATGGAAACACATCATCTTACGTTGTCCAAACCCAGAGAATGTACAACACCGAGCATGAACCATAATGTAAACCATGAACCAACCGTGGGGGACGTGTAGTTCATTCATTTTAACAAATGCACCCCTCTGGCGGCGAAGATGTTGACAGAACGGAGGCTGTGCATGCGTGGGGGCAGAAGGTATACAGGGAAATTTCCGTACTTTCTGCGCAATTTTGCTGTGCGCCAGAAACTGCTCTTTAAAAAAAAGAGGAGGGGAGGGGGCGGTGTTTTAAAGTTGCCCCTGTCACCCCACCATGCTGGGCTCCCAGGGGGAATCTTGGCACCTGCCTTGACCTTCCCCTCCCAAATGCCCCTCGCCCGGGGCAGGGGGCTTCTGTTCCATTCACCTAGAGGACAGCCTGGCACCACCAGGTGATGGGTAAATGCTTGATGGAGCCAGTCCTCCCCAGGGGGATGGAGCAGGCTCAGGCAAGCCAGGGGCTCCTGAGGTTCCAGGATCCCCAACCCACCACCCCTCACACCAAGGACTCCTCACACTCCTCCATCCCTAAGGAAAGGCACCATATGAGGACAAATGCCCACTTTATTAGCCAGCAGCTGGCCTGCAGGGCTCCCTAGGGCCCCCCTTCATAGATCATACCTGCTACCAGGCTCCCACCCCCCACCCCTAGGACCGTGGGGCAGATGGGGAAAGAGGAGCTACCAGGGACGGGGGGATGGCCTCACAGAGGCCTCATAAATACGAGAGGGTCACTGGCAGGGATGCAAAGGGGCTGGACGGCAGGGGCTCAGGGAAGGCGGGCTATCCCAGGGCGGTCCACGTCATGCGGTGCCCTGTGTCCGTGGGGGCCCCGGCTCAGCGTCTAGGCGGCACAGGGGGCTGTCGTACACCATCTGCAGGTTCACCTTGTGGCCCACCAGCTCCCGGATGTTGTTGATGCCGTATTTGATCATTGTTGGGCTTTGGGTGGGGAAGGGAGGAAACAGTTTTAACACCACGTCAGGTCACGCTCTCCTCTGATCAGACCCTCTCCGACGGTTCCCATCTCCTTTGAATAAAAGCTCGAGTTGCTCCCAGGGCTCACAAGGCCCTGACGTGTCCTGTGTCCTGCCCCTTTCCCACCCTCATCTCATCTCACTCTACTGACTCTCTCCCTCCAGCCACCTCGACCTTCTCAGTGTTCTCCAAACACAGCACGCACATTCCTGCCTCAGGGCCTTTGCACTGCCTGTTCCTGCTGACTGAACACCCTTCCCAGTATTCCCCTGGCTTACTCCCATTCACTTCCAGTCTTTGCTCAGATACCGCCTCTTCCTTGAAGCCTTCCCTGACAACCTTGTCTCCTTAGTCCTCCCTGCTGCATTTTCCCCACAGCACTTACTGGCCTCAGACACACTCCAGACTTTACCTGTTCGATTTACTTATGTATCTTACTAATTATCATCCTTTTCACTGCACTACGACCCTAACTTCACAGAGGCAGGGATGTGTGCTGTCATCCTCATAGCACAGGACCAAGCATACAGCAGATGCTCACTAAAGGCTTATCGAGTGAGTGAATAGATGGACGGTGCTGAAGGTCTGCAGGCCCCCGGGCCCGTCAAGTCAGACACCCTGAGTGGTTTGGACACTCACCGCTCCAGGGAGAGGCCCCAAGCAATGACTGACACGTTTTCGGGGAGTCCCATGGGCAGCAGCATCTCGGGGCGGAAGATCCCAGAATTCCCGACTTCCACCCACTTCCTCAGGCCTGTAGACACAGGAGAAGGACAGGGCAGATCATGTGGATGATGCTGGGTCTGGCAGTGAGCTTGGGAGTGGGCTTGGCAGTGAAAGGGACCCGGGCTGAGCGTAGGCAGCCTGAGACATCCCTCCCCCTCTCAGGACCAGGTTCCACCCTGACCTTGGTGGTAGCTGAACACCTCCATGCTGGGCTCCGTGTAGGGGTTGTAGGCCGGCTTGAAGCGCAGCTGGGTAATACCTGGGCAGGGGAAGCAGGGGAACAGAGGAGTGGAAGATGAGCCTGGCGGCCATGGCATCCTCGGCCCCACTAACACCACCCACTGTGGCCCCGCCTGCCTACCCAGCTTCGTGAAGAACTCCCGCAGGACGCCCATGAGGTGGCCTAGGGTGAGGCCGTGGTCAGCCACCACACCCTCGATCTGGTGGAACTCGGCCAGGTGTGTGGCATCTAGGGTCTCGTTTCGGAACACACGATCGATGGAGAAGTACTTGGCCGGCGTGAAGGGCTTCTGGGGGCGACAGGCAGGCCAGGCCCGGGAGTAGGTCAGAAGGCCGGTAGGACAGCCCCCAGCCTCCCCCACTGCCCAGGCTGAGCAGCACCTTCTGAGCCAGGCGGTAGAGGGCACGGGCACTGGCCGACGTGGTGTGCGTGCGCAGCAGGTTTTTCCGGGCCTCTTCCAGCTTCCAGTTGTACTTGTACCTTCGGGAGGACAAATGGCAAGTCCACATTGTGGCCTTCAGGTCCCCGACCTTCTTCCCCCATCCCGACACCCCGAAGCCCTGGGCCCGCCTCACCCCTGTGAGCCGTAGCCACCCTGAGAGTGGGTCCGCTTGACCCGATGGACGTAGTCCATTGGAAGCTGCAGGGCCTCAGCTGGATCTGGGCAGGACAGAGCATCACCTGGTCAGTCAAGGAGCATTTCTCAAACAGCCACTGCACAGAGGACAGACAGCAACACGTGCAGCTCCCACCCTCGCCACCCACGGCAGCCAGAGGGTGCTGGCGAACATCCGAGTCAGTCACATCCCTCCTCTGCCCAGAGCCCTCCGTCTCCCTGGGGGTGGGGGG